TAAATAAATAAATAACTCAATGTTGTAGATGTGTATAAGAGACAGTATATATATATATTATTGTGTATGGCGAAGATATGACCTTCCTAGAATGACAACCAAGCTGGTATTTGCGCCAAGCCCCTAAATCTGTATTTCTAACGCATATATTGATGTTATCTTTTCGACAATTAGTAAGTTTTCCAAGCTACTGCAAATTAGCACAAACCCATTTTCTCCAAAATTCGGGTTTCTCCAAAATCTTGGCTCTTGCCTTAGTTCGACAAGAAGCGCACTATTTCTCATTTTAAAGTAAAAGTTCACATTTTTTAAATATCTATTGCTTAAAACATTTTAAATTATACAATCTAAGATATAATTACTGTACACTTACCTCTCAGTTCAAATTCAGATCTGTGCTGTAAATGGTGCAAATGGTACGCTCAGGCGCCGATATCTCAGGTAAATTGGAATCCTTGTAAAAACTCTTGATTTTATAGTATTGATCGGTTGTTATTCAGACAGTTTAATAGATGCAGACGGTCAATGCTCAATAATATATATCCGGTCAACATGCGGCGTAATTGTGTCAATTAATGTTATAAACGGTATATTTATTTTCTCTTACTTCAAAAAAATCTTATCTGACGTAAGTATAAGAAATAATAATTAGAGGATGTAGATAATATGCCTAACGCTTTATCCCGTCTTCCGTGTTTATCTGGTTTCCATCTTGCTCTAATTTAATATTTATATCTTTATTGCTTTGTGTCTCAACTCAACCATACCTTTATGCACAGAGTTTGTAGTGTATGTAAAATATTAGTTTGAATCTATCATTTATATTTCTAGAAAACCAGTAGCTTACTGTCATAATATTCATGATAATGATGATGACGATGATTAAATGATAATGATGACGACGACGACGATGATGATGATGATGAGGAGGAGGAGGAGGAGGAGGATAAGACGATGATAAAAATGATAATGGAGAAGATGATGATGAGGATGATCATGGTCATGGCGATTGTGATGATGATGATGATGATGATGATGATGATGACAATGATGGTGGTGATAATCTTATAGATGATGATGGTGATAATAATACTAAAAAAATAAAATTTAAGCTAATAAAAATAATATAAGAAAAATTGAAAAATATATCAACAAAATTAAGAAGATTTAAAAACATGGATGTAGAGATTAATTAAAATGTTAAAAAGAATGAAAATAATTTATATAATTGAAATAATGGATATAAGCTATAAACTTAATCAAAAATTAATGTAAAACAATATTATGAAATTGTCTGGCTAGTTTTGAACATGGTCTGTTTCTTAAACAAACCAAGGCCTGTTATTGATTTTTTTTTAACTTATTTATTTTCTTTTTAAATTATGATTCTACATAAAAGAGGCCTTTTATTCTTTTTTTTTAAATTATAAGTACAAGTAAAATTTTGTTATGCAATGATGTTTTCTCTATTTAGTATGTTACTAGTGTTTTATGTACGGTACATGTAGTATAACTTATGTGATTATGTTTCATTTATAAATTATGTGATTATGGAAATAAAAGGCTTGGCAAAAGAAAGAAAAAAAATTCGGCGATGATGAACATACTCATACACCGATAATAATGGTTGGGGGCAGTGGCGGATTNNNTGCCCATTTTTAATGGGGAAAAGAAAATTACATTAAAATGTTTAGTCTGTGAATGCCATTTCTCGCCATCTAGAAGTGCCATAACATAAAATTTCGTACCTCAACCAGGGAACTAAGGTGGTGTGGACCCTCCATCTGCAAAATTTACTCCCTGGGCCCCCTCTATTTCGAATTCCTGGATCCGCCGCTGGGTGATACTAATTACAGTGATATTAGTCGGTCTAAGGATGATTGCCTAATCACAACGTCACCAAACATCATGATTTCCCTGCAAAATGTCCTTTGGTGGTACAGCACATCCGTTTACGTCGTGAAAAACAAAATTACTTCGTCGCCGCAGGGCTCCCGTGACAAGTAGTACAAGAAATATCAGTGATTTACTTTCTGTATCGAATAAAACTGTTTCTATCTTTATCCCATGTCAAATTCAAATTTTCGATTTGTCACTATAGAACATTTATTAATATTTTGTTTTGAAAGAAATATAACGTACCGTTTTTCCATTAAAAGATCCCAAACACAGCCCTATGCGTTGCTGTGGACGTTTGTTGAGCCCAAGGCCCCCGTTTAACGCCAGATGTGTCTTGATCTTTACACTGGACAGATGAATTTAGCTCCACATCTGAAAATAATTTGTTGATAAGCCTATTCAGTCAAAGAAAGAGTACCGGTACTCCATATACAACTCCCACTACCAGTTAATATTCCTTGTCAACTACGTCCCACCGCCCCCTCTCAATAAATAAATAAATAAATAAATAACTCAATGTTGTCATTTTATCAAATGTGTAGGCCTGTAATACATTATGTTAGGGTTGTATTATTAGTACCATAAATTTTAAGTGTTATCCTCGAGTTAGGATGACAGCAATGTACTCTCTCCGACCCCGTCTCACTCTTTCCCTCCCCCTGTTTCTGCTCATGAAAGAACAAAATGTCTGATCAACGTGTCAATCATTTCCATAGACGTCAATCACAAACCTGTCAATTCTACCTTCTGTTTTATACAGTTCCTATCATATACCTGTAATAGGCCTATATGTTAACTGCATTAATATGTGATGCTGTCAATGACACGTATTAAAATAAAAGTTTACCACGATCTTTCAAAGAATACGTGTAGCCCTGATGATTTTACATTATGACGTCATTATCCTCTTATTAGCCAATCATTTTCGAAGACCACATTATAATTAAATTATGCCTTATTTAGTTTAATTCAACGTGATGCTATCGGTCACTCCAAATGACGGCGAAGATCTGTTTTAAGAATTAGGACAAATTTGTTTATATCTAGTTGATGACGTCATGTTGCATTCGTGTTCGTTCACTTAGCCAATCCAGTGCGAGTAATTATACAGATTTGAGGACCATAGAATATTATTATTTGTAAGGATTTTAATTATCTTAAACTTCAGTTGGACACTGTTCCACATCAACAATAAAGAAAAAGACTGAATTTTCTTGAAGAATTCTTGAAGAATAAAATTATATATGTTAAATACTGACTTCAGTTGTATATTAAGTACTTTGGAATTAAGGTTAAGGAGAGATTCCTCTCTCCTTAACATTAATTGGTAATTAATAATCGGACTTATCGGAGCCTACCTCTGCAAGTAAACTGTTCTATATATTCTTTATGTAGCCCGCTGCATTTTTGCTGGCAATTTCTGGTGCAATTTCAGAATAATTTTCATAGTGAAATATAAAGGCCTATCATAAGCAAAAGCTGTATTATAGGAATTATGTGTTTGCCCTACTTGACGTTTTATCGTATTGCATACTCAGTACATTCCCAACTACTTGAGAAAAAATAAATTCGCAAGTGATTTGGGTGGGAATAGAACCCATGCACAGTATTGTTTTGATCTCTGTATCATTGAAATGAAAGGATTATTGTGATCGTAAGTTTCATAATGAGTAATTTAACATTGTAATTGACTTCGATATTTGTCTAGATTGGACAGAGACATCACCACAGACAGTCAGTGTTGGTCAAGGTTCCTAGTTTTTGATTCCCAATACCGTTCCTGTCCTCCTTGGCCGAAGTTACGGAAGGCGCCCTGTCCCGAGGCGGACTGCCCAATTAGAATGCGTCTGATATGAAATTATTGTTATAACGATTATTTCCCAATGCTTTTGTCAATCAATTCAAAATAATCTTCGTAGTTGAGATTATTAGCAAAAACAGTGAACTGTTTTGATTTTGTGTCTCAGGACTTATTATTGTGATCGTTTTTGTAGCAACTAAATATTTTTCAATATAATTTTCAGTGTTTTTTTTTTTTTTTTTTTTGTGCAGTAATAGATATACAGCATACATATTAAACTTCTGCACTCTCATATACATGTCCGCGAAGGAGGTACGGAAGGCACCCTGAGACGACCAGTATAGGCCTATCTCTCATTTCCATAGAGCTATAATAAGAACTAAGCTCTGCACGGTCATTTCAATCGTCAAGCGTCATGCCGCCCCCTATTGGTCACACAATTATCTTTGGGGTGGTGGTGGCGGTATTTCTAAACTTTAGAAAGTATGTTTGCAAAATCACGACAGGAGGAGAATGTCAAAGATGAAAGTGCAGGATTTGCCAACTGAAGTGGTATAAAATTCATTGCTGGTTATGTCTGTTTCATGTAATTATGTTCTATGTATATTTTAGTGATGGTTAGAGTGATAATTAACTTGATTTAACATACACTAGCCTAGTGCTAGGTCAAGTACTTGAGTGTGTGGGAGCTGGGGTGGAGCTAGACCTATCTATCCTCTGTAGGCTGTATCCCGCTCTTTTATATAGAGTCTAGGCTAGAGTAATGCCACTCACTGGCTAGCCAAAGGTCCTTAAATAAAAAACTGGACATGATCTTTGACTGTACCACCAACACAAGTATCAAGTAAGGCCTAGAGTGGTCTCACTAAAAGGGGCACATAGCATTTACACCACACAAGTCAGTGACATTTATCTTCATAATTATTAAATTAAGTCCATGTAAGGCCACGAGAATGAAAGTTGTCGGTTTGCATCCGAAAAATTTGAGGCATTTTTTCATTTTTCATTATTTTTTTATAAATGCTGTCCACAAGCCACGGCATTGGTAATTTTACATTTATTCCCAAGAAACAATGCTTACAGTCATAAATGTACACTAGCCTATAAAACAGATCCTTTTCTACATTTAAGACCTCTTTAAACATATGAGATTTCCAGAAAGATCGGTTTGACCCGTAAATGACCTCAGCCGTGATCGGCGGTCATGGTGCGATGTGGCCAGGTCTGCCTTCGCTCTGTGTTCGCGACCAGTGATCAGTGATGAATAGATCGTTTTTCTGTCTGTTTACGGCTTAGAAAGTCCGTTTTTTAAAACGAAGTATATTACATACATATATGTCATCATGATGATGACATAATTAATGTCGAAATATTGAATACCAACACGATGGCGTGTATTTCAATACTTGGAGTATGTATTATACTTTCTTAATCTGATTCTTTCCTATCTAATTAAGCCACCCATTGTTTTAAGTTTTCCATGTTTTATTTTTGTTTGCAATAAATCTCAAATGGCAATGGTCATAAGAACTCGGACCAGATCTCCCAAAATTGACTTTTTCCAACTTGGGACCTCGGAACTCATCACTTTACATTGAGGGCAGCATTCAGTTAAATTTTGCATATGTCATAATGCTGCCAATTAATACTGTATGGCAGTCAATTCAGGGGCATAGATAGGCAAGATTTGGCGTGGCATGAAGGAGGGAGTTTGAAACGGGCTGGGGGTGCGAAAATTTAGATTGCGGAACTAAATCCGTATTCAGTTTTGTATATTAACCCAATCAGTGGAACTAATTTGCTGCCATTTTCCCCGTCTCCCCCAGCCTACTCCCATGCATTGCCATCATTGCTTGAAAAAAGAAGACATAAAGACCTCCAAAATATGTGCAGTAATGTTCCTTTTTTTTAAGGGCAACCACTATTTATATTTGTGGGAAGTTTTCTTAATTGGTTCTGAAATAATAATTGTTTTTACAATGTTGATTATTGTTATATAATCAGCTAATTTACCAAGATTATGTGCTCACTGTATTTTGTTACATTCTTGTTTGTTAGGAGGAGCCTGCTAGTGACTAGATGGCTTCAAAGAAAATTCAAAGAATTGGACTTCCTAAGAGTGTGGAGCTTAGTTTGTTGAAGTGCAATGTGATTACATGTCATGTAAGTATCTTTATTGGTATGATATGGTAATATGCAATTCATGCTCGAAAAATCAAAGATGTTACATAATATTTTAAAAAAGGTAACAAGCGTACAGTACATATAGTATATATCTATCAGTGACTTGGTAGTTTAAGCTCTCTCTAGACTAACATATTTTATTTGACAGAAACATGACATACCTAAATATGGTTTGACCACATATAGGCACATCATGACTATTACTTTTTAAAGTGCTATTTATTTACTCATTTATTTGTTTGTTTATTTATATATTAATTAATTTTTTTTAAATTTTTTATCTTTATTTATTTTATTTTTTTTTTCACTTGTCAGTTTGTTTAGCATGCCTGCCACAAGCTATGCCTTCTTCAAATCATTTACCTTGATTTTCATTTTACTGTTTTTTTTTCAACTTATAATAAAAATAAATGTTACTTTGATTGATTGATTGATATATGTGGACATACAACAGTTTTTTTTTTCAAATAAATTTGATAGTGTAGAGAGAGTTTTGACACTGTCTCGTCTTGTGGAGGATACTGACACGTTTGTAATCAGTGTATAATTGACCTTCCCGGAGTTTTAATCAAACTTAACAACTGACCAATCAGAACAGACCCAGGAATATGCATACTGTACGTCTCACAAACACACGTGTTGTCTCACAAAATCAACAATAAGAGGCTGGCCTTAGTGTGAAAGTCTTTTATATATTGCTGTTGAATGCTTCTAGTTGGTGCTTTTTTTGTCACTATGATTTGATTGCTATATATTATTTTTACATCTTTTGAACAGGGATACCGTGGTACAGTTAATGTACTCAGTGGTATAATTGTGGGTGGAGAAGTGGGGTGAGATGGGAGAGGTAGATGTGGGTGCTTAATTGCTCTGAGCACCATATTTTTTCTTAATTAAAACTTCTTGTTTTACACAATCCAAGAACCCTCACAAATGGATGTAATTCATGTTGAAGAAGGAAAAGAAAGTGCGGAAATTTAGGCATTTTATTTTTTTTCAAATCTCACTGAACACCTTTCTTCTGTTTGATCATTCCGTATTTTGATATAAAATATTGAAAATTTAAGTACAGATTTAGAATTTTAATGCAACAAAGTGTAAAAAAACAATTTTAAATAAATTATCATTTTATTAAGATATTATTGTTTTATTATTGTGAATTTTTTATTTATAGATATATTTGTTATTATTTACTGTTGTGGAAGCAGTTTGGCACTTTGGAAATGGTTTGGGTTCCCAACCTGGAGGTTAGCGGGTCAATCCTTTGCTATGCGTTTTGCTTGTGTTTTTGAGCAAGGCACTTTATCTACATTGCTTCAGTCTACCCAGCTATATCAGTGGATGCCAGCAAACTTATGCAAGTAACTTGCGGTGAACCAGCGTCCCACCCAGAGGGAGCATCTTCACACTCCATCTGTTTTATGCTACAGAAACTGGGGATAAGCTCCGGCCCCTATGGGCCCTAGTGGCTCGGTTAGGATTTACTGTTTACTGTAGTATTTCAGTTAGTATTCTTTTAATATCTTCTTTTTAAACATGACTGTTTTCTCCCTGCAGGATCTGCTTTGCAAGAATTCCGTAGAGTTGCTGTCCATTCTAGGTGTTGGTTTAAGACAAGTGGAAGAGACGGTACTTGCTGTCAGTGAAGCTTGCACCCCTAGAGTCCAAACGGTCAGTAAATTATCATAGATCCTTCTTTCCTTATCTCTCTCTTTGTTTTTCTTAAATTTTTTGAGTTACAGACATATCCGAATATTTATCAATTACAATTTTGTCTACTATTGCAAATAAGATTGATTTGATTAAGTCACTAGGAATTATTTCTTCTATTCAGATATTTTTGCAAGTGTTTAAAATATCTAAAAAGTCAATGATTAGACAGGAAGCTAATCAGTATGTCAACTTAAATAATTTAATACCATTGATTCTATATTACTAAATCTTTAAATGCATATTTTACATGCAGGCCATATAAAATTTCTAATACAGAGTTTATGAATCGATTTTATGTAATCTACATCTTTCGAGAGAATTATGAGAAGAAAGAAAATATTGTAAGTTAAACCGTATAGAATCTTAAAAAAAGTTACGGAAGGGAGTTATGATGCCATTTGTCAGGACGTGCCCTGTCTTTAATTGCAGGCAACAAATCAGAAAATGTAATGCAACACCACATTTTGTTTTCAGTATAGCCTTTAGTATGTCTGATAATTTCCGTACTATCTATATCAGTTTCATTTCTCCAAGGTGTAAATTTACCGGGCCAGTCCATCCAACTCCCTTATGATTTTTTTATTTAGTCTCTGCCACCGGGTGACATGAAGTTCAGACATATCAAGAACCTGGTTGATCAATGTATGATACATTATAAAACAGTTTGGATATTTTCCCAGTTCTGCTGAGAAAGTTATTTGTAGTTATTAAACACTTTTTATTTGTATCTATTAAACACTTTTATTTATCATTTAAGCTTTTTTTATTCAGTGTGTAGCTATTCAGTGACTAGCACTGCTTTCCAAAGAAGCCCTGGAACATACAGTAAATATAGCGTAAATATAGCAAAAATATACAGAAATGTACAAATTAAAAATAATGATACAGAAGACTGTGTCTTCCTGTCTGTTTTCTTCTTGTCATTGTTTGGGCTTTACCACTCCCTTGTGCATAGTATTCTTTTGAATATATTTTGCCACTTGTCTATGGAGTATTTTAATAATAATGTTTCCTTTAATTTTTTTGAAATCTCAGTTTATAGATAGTTTATATTCTTTATATTCTATATATTTTTGATATTTGAAATAAAAGTGATCTTGAAGAAAAAAAAGTTAAAACCTATTAACAGAAAGAGAATTTTTACGAAATGATGTGTGAGAAAGATTGTTCCAAAGATGAGCAGCTTTGTTTTTTCTTTGTGATGCCCTACATGTGCTAGATAAAGCCATGACCTTGGTTTTATGTTACATTCTTTTTTATTGTTTCTGAATAAAGAACGAACGATAATTTGTTTGTAAATTCAATCTGTTCATTTTTCTGACAGTTGCAATCAAGAGAAGTTTTTTGGTTTTGTTTTAATTTTTGAATTTTTCTATGAAGCTCTGTTTATGTAATCATAGAACGAAAGTGATCCATAGAGAAAGATGCAGACATAAGAAACCCAATCATTCATTATTTTTCCAGGCCCTACAGCTGAAGAAGAAGATCAATACAGACCGGCCTAGTTTCATAAAAACGTCTCTCACTAGCTTAGACACTGCTCTGCATGGAGGACTTCCCGTAGGCACCATTACAGAGGTATATCTTAATATACTGTATATGCAGATACACCAAGGCAAATATATCCTCACATACTATAAAAACACACTGGGGTTAATATGCCTGTCTTCTTGAAATTGCAGGGTTGTTAATTTCTCAGAATCAAATATTTATTTTCTTTACATTTACGGGGATACTTGGAAGGATTGGAAGTATCCCTCAGTTGGGACCTATCACCCCCTTTAAACCCCCTTTAAACATACAGTAATTCTTTCCCATGGATGCCTGTCATTCCAAAGCAGTATTCCTACATAAACCTCTGCCATTTGTAAGACTTTCAAATCCCCAGTTGGAGGGGAATTCCCTCTCCCAGCTCCTTCTACCTATTAGGAACTCTTGCAAGGTTAGAGTTTCAATCCTGATGCATTTGCTGTTGTCATTAGGCAAAGGAATCTACAATTGTGTTTCTCTACCTAGCATTATAAATAGGCACCTGGGGTACACTAATGTCTACTATAATACCTGAAAAAATTGAGCCACCGATGCCATGTTGGGGAACCCAAGTGACATACCAGTTTAGACAAGTTTCTTTTTGGTATTTAATTATTGTTAAAAATAACGATTCTTGCAATAATTTTTTTTAATAAATAAAAAATTTAAAGTAAGGATTTTAACAACACTAATTTAACAAATGTCATCAAAAGCTTGACTGGACTTGTACGTCAGTTTAGTGTTGCAAATGGCACCGGTGGCTTCTCTAAAACAAGCCAATGAGCAATCGTGCTATTATAATAGTGACCTGGTAAGATTTGAACATCCTATGTTGTATGTATTTGTTCAGTGAGTGCTGAATATTCATGATCTTGTTTGAATATTCATGACTATGAATACACTCTGATAGGTCAAAAAAGGTTGCACATTGTGAATGAATATTGTGTCTAATGAACAGGTCTGAAATCCTGTATAAATGCCAAGCATTACAAAATTATATATAATCAATCCATAAGGCTTATATCTCTAAAATTATTTTCTTACAGCTTATTTCCCTTTGCCATCAATCAAGTATTCTGTGTATTTAGATTGCAGGCCCGTCTGGATGTGGAAAGACTCAGTTCTGCATGATGCTAGGTGTGCAGGCAACGATGGGAGCAGACAGGGGCGGCTTGAACGGAGCAGTTGCTTACATCGATACAGAATCTGCATTCAGTGCCACAAGGTTTGTCAGAATGACATCACATCATGACCATACATAGGCATATCATGACTATATATGGGCATGCCTACAATATTCAATGGACTTTTTCGCTAAACCACGCCCTTTGGATACTGTTGCTAAGCTCCCACAAAACAACAGTGTGAAAACATACGCAAAGACGTGCGTGTGTGCGTGTGTTGGACAACACATGTGTTCGCGAGATGTGTATTCCTGGCCCTGTTCTGATTGGTCAGTTGTAAAGTTTAATTGACACTCCGAAGGTCTATTATCGTAATTGTTTCCCTCCAATATTTTCAATTCAGCTCTCGACATAAAATAAACAATTGTAATCGAGGTGAAGGAAATCCAGTAAAATTTCACCAGTTTAGTCTTGTAGTAATTTGTAGTTGTCTAGCGTATCTTCCTTGTTGTCATTATTTACCTCTGCTCGTACTTCAACTCATCTTTTACTTTAGTGATAAATCACTAGCCTGTGGATCAAGACACTACTGTTGTCCATATTTGGTAATAATAAGAATATATATATTTTTTTATTTAATGGGTAGTTAAAAGGTAATACTGTTATACTTGCCAGTATTGGCATGCACCCATGCATCATGGGATAGATCCTTCATTCGTCAACATCAACAAACCGCACAAAACTGAAACAAATGATTATTTCATGGTCACTATAAAAATGATGAAATAATAAAATAAAAATGAAATAAAAATGAAATAATAATTAAGCTTAAAGCACCTGATTTTTTTAACTCCAAACCTTTGAAGCAGAAATGTTTTTTTGTTGTGAAATTGTCAGCTTTTTTTTGGTGTAATATTGTGTTTGGTCTCAGGGCGCGTAGTTGTGAAAAAACAAACCAAGCATACTGTTTAGATTATATACTGACACAATGCTCACAGCCCCCAGCTGGAATTATTTTCGCAGAGGAATCGATGTGCGGCAATTTTCATCATTGTGATGATCGTCATCATCTGTAGCAACATCACCTTCATCATCATATCATTACCATCATCACCATCATCCTTGTCATCATCATCATAGTTATCCTTATCATCATAATCGTATTTATTGTCCTTTGGCTGTGGAGCAGGCAACCACAGGCTTCCTCCCTGAATAGCGATCGAGTAATTTGATTTACTTATGCCCTTCTCATCTTCCGCTAGACGTTAATGTTATGCAAATTGAAACAGACATTCTTAAGGTGGGTGCCCTCAGAATGCCATACAAATGTAGAAGAAAAATCATAACCTCTGTCTGTAATGCTGTACGGATAAACCTAAAGTTAATAAAACCGATTTTATGTTCAAATATATGTATTTCAATAGAGTAAAGGAGATAAAAGGCTGCCTGTGCTATGAGCAACTATTAAATATGGATAATGCATATAAAAAGACATTTTAATTAATTATATTATATTTTCTATATTATATTCTATATTATATTTTATGATCTAACTCCATCCCCAGTTGTCAGACACATAGCAAGAGTTGACAGGGTTGCAAAGCTGGGGCTGGATTTATCAAACTAGAATTCAGCTTAAATTCGTCTTCCGTTTTTTGCTTAAGTCAGATTTATCAATATTGCTTTAGCTTAAAACTTGCTTAAAATTAAAAAGTCGACTGTACGCATGCGCCATCTAAGACGATTTTTAAGGTGAGATTGTGCCAAGATGGTTTGATAAATCTGCTTAGGATATTTGCTTGGGGACATCTTAACTATTTTGACTTATGACATTTGCTAAGCAGAGATTGATAAATCCCGGGCCAGGGCCCTTATGCTGATGTGTAAACTTATTTTGAGATCATACAGTGGGGTATGTAGGCAACTAGTAATAATTGGAACCAGCAAAAATGTAATAAAAAATTGTTAATTAAAACAGATCAAATATGTTACCAACTTTGAATGAGTCGCAGGTCAAAATGATTTAGTTTTCTCTGATACAGACGTTTTACTAATTCACGAAAATTGTATATTTCTTATTAAATTGATTACCAGCCAGTATTCACATAGAGTAGTTAAGAAGTCATAATTTTATTTTACACAATAATAATAATAATAATAATATTAATAATTAATAATAATAATAATGATTAGTATGGATTTATAGAGCACATAATGCATAAAGCGTGTATGCGATTGACCTGTTGTTTTGAGCTTTAATGCCTACTCCTTTGTGTGGTTAGCCATTGACTCCGTAGAGTTCATCCGCCTTCTGTTCAGCTGTTGTTATTGCTGCAGGGTGACGATAACACCCTCCCACTTCAGAGACCGGTTGCTAAAGACCACAAAATGGGGTTGTCGGATTAGTCGCCAACGGCGGCTCGACCGGATGCGGTGTAATGAAAAACAACTGGTAGTAGGCAAAACATAAAGCAAGTTTCTGTACAGTATGGCAACCAAATTAAAAAAAATTTTTCTGGTTGTAATTTTTATATATGTATCTAACTTAACCTAGTTGCCAGTCACAAATTTTTCACAAGTGTACAAACAGTACACTAGGGGGGGGGGGACACTTTTACATGCAATATTAAAATAATAGATGTTTATGACCAATTATAAAGCAACCATGGATATAATAGACATATATTTTGCATCCAAGGACAGAACAAAAATGGAGAATGGTTTTATATCTCTTTCAGAGGAGAGGGAGGGAATACTGTTTGTACACTTGAAAAAATAAATAAATAACCATTTCAAAATATGAAATTATATTTTAAAGGTTTTTATTTATCTTAATACTGACAGAGTATCATAAACCCATAAATGTTCTGTCTATTGAACACCCCTATCAAATAATAGAGCAAGTCACTAGTTGTGAAACCATGCAACCTTCCTCATTTCTTCCCACACAGTGAGATGCGAATAATGAGAACATGGAGTTACTGAATCGTAGTTTAAAAGGACAAATAAATTAAGCATTAGTTAGTTGTAGTCTATGAAATTGTATTTTGTGATTGTATCATCAACTTTTTAATTAATCTCTAAATAACTTTAATTGTGGTTACTTTTAATTGATTCTTAATGGTTTTTGATAGACTATGAAATTGTTATTTTGTGATTGTATCATCAACTTCTATATTAATCTCTAATAACTCTGGGGCCCAATACAAAAATTGTTAATTTATCACCCTCGCCAGCATGTCTTCTATGGTAGTGAAAAAAAAATTGGAAAATTTATATTTTATTTATTTATTTTTTTTAATTTTTAAAAAATGTTTTTAGTAAATAGTAGATATTGTTTGCATTATCTCAATCATGTATTTTACTTTGAATATTAATGCACCAGCAAACAACCCAAGGGTAATATTTGGCTTTAGAAAAATAAAAATAGAAAGCCTCCCGATCTCATTGGACCTAATGGTTGTTACTTTTAATTGTTTATTAATTTTTTACAGGCAGATCTTTCTTGAAAATGTATGATATTGTTATTACATTATATTATTTTAAATATTTGTGTCATTGTTATTATTTTATCATTTTGTTGGTATTGTTGTTATTATTATTATTATTAATATTATGGATGCCTTTGTGGTTCATCATTTAGATCTAATTTAGTTCTGTAAAATATTTGTGGTGTTGAAGAATCTACCTTCGCCTTTGTTGAGCATTTTGGGTACCTTGTGACAAATATGATCCCACTTATGTTGCCGAGCAATTTGTTAGACATTGAAACCCACAACATTTTAAATTTGCTCATTTAATTTTTTAAATTTTTTTATTTCTTGTGGCAAAGCCACCTTTATTTGTCACAAATGCATAAATCAAATCACAAATGTTAAATAAAAAAGCAACAAGGAAAAGAAATTAATAATAATTGCTAATTTAAAATTGTATTATAATATTATCAAGTTAACACATAAAAATTTATATAATCAGTAGCAAGTTTTAAAGTGAATAAGGGCCAAAAATCCTGAATTTCTTCTAAAACATTTCAACATTAAAATGTTACTCATATTTAACTACAGTAGAACTCCTTTCTTTGGGACACCCCTATAATTAAGGGGACACTTTTTGGCTGTAAAGTCAGGGAAATGTATGTTTTTACACTATGACCAATCCATATTCATAAGTGTCCCCATAGGTGTTCTACTGTAGTATAGTCAACAGCCATTATCATTGCCTTTCTTTATAGCCCCTCAATAGAAAAGGAGGCATGTACACACAAGTTAAGAAAATATTAAAAAGTGTAGAAATGTGTAAAATTATATTAATTCATATTTTATATAATAGGTTGTTTATTTCCAATGAGAGACATGTCAGAGTTTTTAGTTATATTTATTTTAAAACATTTTTACTATAAAAATACTTAATTTAGTTACCAGCCAAATAAAAGATGCAAATACATGCAATATTGGAACAGTATTTTTATTCATTAATTTATAAGGAAATTCTGTTTTTGTTCTAAGTTATAAGCTTACTTTTTATATTTAGCCTATTATTTATTTTTAAATTGTATTTCATTCATTTTTAGCTTATATATAAAATGAAAGAAAATCCAAACACTGAATGTTATTTGTATCTGTTTTAAAAATGCAAACTACCAAAATAAATTCATAAAAATTATTTTTAAAATTAACTTCTTGAAGTAACATAAACATTATCAACTTAATTAGTGTATTAAAAAAAATGTTACCCATCATTTTATAGCTAAAAATGATAGACACATTTCCAGTCACTGGAAGTGTTTTATTTTTATCATAATCAGGGTACAAATTTTTCTAATTCAATAATTTCTATGCTCAAGTTAATAATTTTTATGTTACTGCAAGTAAGCCGAGACAGTTGATTTCATAATTAATGTCTATAATTTTTTTTTTGCCATTTACAAGGGACAATACATCTTTAACACACCACAGATATTTGTTTCTGAAGAAATTAAGTGTTGTCATATTTGTCAGGTTCTAATCAAAGTATCAAGTGTTTGTCACTTATCATTTTAGGATTGTTGACATTGATTTTATGTTGTGTACCTTTGATAATGGTCATTGAGTGATTAATTATCTACAAAATTGTTTCAAAATGATATTTCAGTTTTAACTCATTGAAATAATGCACACCAAGTGAATTGATCCTCTCGCATTGCTACGGTTACCTCTCCACAGATTGGTGCAAATTGCAAGAAGCAAGTATCCGCGGTATTTCACGACTGATGAGATGTTCATGAGACTTGTCAACAATGTGCATATTTATCAAGAGACCACTTGTAGTTCATTACTGAACCGGTGAGGGCGCTATAACATATTTCCATTAACACGCACACAAAACACACATGCAATTATTTTTTGATGATCAATCTAACTTCGATTTTTATGTTGCGTGGCTTGATTCCGATCACCTTATTTGCTGCGCCGATGTATCCGACAGACATAAATACCCTTTTTTTTAGCATTCAGAATTTACAGAATGCAACACTACACCTGATATATTTGTTTGATCGCACAATTTATTTGCTAAAGATGTAGGTTGCTAATGTAATGGCTGCCTGCAATACATTTGGTTAATGTACAAATAGCAACCTCCTTCCACGAGCAACACATTCACACTGTCTTAAGTCGAAGCAATAACCAATGATATATAGCCTATTCATTACACCTAAAGGTTTTTACTATCCTTCAATCGGTACTACATCTTTTTCATAAGTAACTTGCAGATGGTGGGTAGCGAAATTCAGTGACTTGAGGTACGTGTGATATTGAAGTATATAGCAGTTGATAGAAACGACATGGCCTAGATCTTGTTGAGGATACATGATTAATCAAGCAGGATGTTTTATGAAGATGTAACCTAAAATATAACATTATTTATTCGTAACAGAATGAAAGAGAGATAAATTAAGCTACACATCAAATGTTAGGTTTGCGGATTTTATAATAATATTTTGTTTCCTATTCACAACACACGTCCGGAAATTCTGTACATACACTTATGTACTTATGCTTGTCATGTATAGAGCATCATACAAAAGACTCGAAGCATGTCACATTAGTATGGTTGTCATTGGATCACATGGAACACTCATACTCTCCTCCCTAAGGAATCATCCATAATGTTGCAGATAATAATGAGCACATTGGTATGCAAACCTACAAGGTATCCACAAGTACTGCTCTGTGGAGATAGTCTTTGTGGATGTGCCTTGCCCCAGGGAACAAATAAGTTGTTTAACTTGAACCCTTGATCTTTTGAGTAGAAGCCAGGAGCCTAACTGCCATGCCATGTGCTTCTTTAAAAAAAATAAATTGAAAGAGGTAATAATAAAAAATTGATGGTATTTTTGGATAGTTGACCATGGACGTAAGCACCTTTACCTTTGTACCATCAGCTAAGGTCCTATCCACTTTCTGAATTTCCTAGAACCATCTGTTAGTCCATTAATAATGCAATTAAAGAACAATTTGTTGTTCATGAAAACCACCTTTGACCTAATTTAATAAGGATTTATTGTTTTTTTGTGTGTGTATGTATGTATATATATATATATATATGTGTGTGTATATGTGTGTGTGTGTATATAATTTTATATATATGAATATTATATTTTTAATTATATAAATATCTGTTAATATCGATGCATACCGTTTTTCAAGTGCGTATTATTCAGAGGCTGTACATGAATTTAATTGTGATCTCCCATGATTCATAGTGTTAAATTTATGTGTTTAAGTTGGCAGTTGTGTGCATATCATGTAAGTGGCCCAGCTTATTTACGATATATTGAAGTTGAAATATGGCATGCATTTTAGGCAATATTAGCTAAAGCAGAGAATGAAATTGAAGAACACATGCATATGTGAGAACATACTATACAAAATAAACACTATATATGTACTCTCCATATACGGCAGTATTCATATTCAATTTTATTTTAAAACCTCTGAAATCGAGAGATTAAATACATAAAAATATGAAACGCATCAGTATACATTAATATCAAGCTATAAAACCATTTCACATAAATATGATAATGAAATATATAGTTATGGTAATAATTTATTCATTTTTATGCACATATAAGGTATTTACCAGGCATAAAGTCATGAGGAAAAAAAATCATTAACTAATATTAATAAATGTAAATTATTTTAATATTGGTGGTTATTAATAGTAATAAAATGCATGAAAATATGAAACATTCATTTAAATAACATCACACAATATTAAACTACAAAAATATTTCACAAATAAAATAATGAAATATATTATTTGTAATAATAATAATAATAATAATAATTTTTTATGTTATATCAAAGATATAATACAAAGCATAAAATCATAAGGAAAGAAAAATTATTAATGAATAATATTAATTGTAATTTTCATTTAAAATTTTTTCTTAATAATAATAGAGAAAAAAATACTTGAAAATATTAAACATTTACATGAATATCAAACTAGAAAAATATTTCACATAAATAAAATAATGAAATATATTATTACCAATAATTATTAATTTTTTATGCATATAAAGATATTTACAAAGCATAAATTTATGAGGAAAGAAAAATTATTAATGAATAATATTAATAACTAAATTATCATTTAAAATTGATGGTTATTAATAGTAGCTTTAAAGGTAACTTGAGATGAAGGCAGAAGTCGTGTATCATGCTTACATGCTGCTAATGTCGAAATTATTAATGACAGTAGTAACGATTATGAAGAATATTTATATTATTATCACTATCATTCAAGGCCTCTCTAAAAATGCACGTTATATAAACTTTTAACTTCAGCCGTATGCAGCATGTCACTTCGCTATGACATTACATAGTAAATTAATTAGTGTTGATGATGATATAAATATATATTATGGTTACATAGACAAGAATTCAAATATGTGATGCAGATGAAACTATATAATAGTCAGCATTAGTATAAGCCAAGTTTCACTCATTTGACAAAAATTATGTGAAGCAAGATGTGGAAAGAAACATAATTCACGAAGTTTCTATGTCGCTGATGTTCCCACTCATTCGCTGTAATTGATCACTCTGTCATGTCATGTGTTATTATAGTTATAGTTCGCCTGCTCCTGAAGTATCTTTAATGATAATAATCTAAATCAATATGCTATTGGTATTAATATTATTAATTTTTTAAATTGGTAGTCAGAGATATGTTAATGAGATACGGTAGTAAAATGTCTAGTACAGTATCATTGAAATATTTTGTTTTTTAAAGAGAGTCATAAATTTCCTGTGATTTCGACATGTTGATATCATAAATAATGTTGGGCCCAAATTATAATGTAACTTAGGCGAGACTTTTTATGCCGTCTTTCGCGAACTGATTTTTTAAAGATCGTCAGAGGAGGGCAAAAAACAAATAAAAATAAAATTTAGTTTTATTATTTAGCAAATTGTTTTGCTAAAAACAACCAGACAGAGAAGAAAATATAAATAACATTTTATTGGTGAATGTAAACAGTGTATTATGGGATGGTTAAATGCTTGAAATTGATAAAATCATGAGGAAACATGCATGTTTTATTTTTGGAGATTTCAAGGCAGTGGTGGGCATAATAAAAATAAAGAAAGATTTTTTTTCTGTATTTTCCATTTTTTGGTGGTGGTGGGTGCGCTAATTAGCCAAAAATAAAATTGTATTTTATTTGAAATTACCATTATCGGCGGGCGGTGGGTTCGCTTAAAAAGGTATAGAAAAAGTCCTCCTTATATACATTAATTCAATCTCTCATTTAAAAACTTTTTTTTTTGTTATTAATAGTAATGTTCCAAGAATAAAACCAAGTAAACATACATACTTACTACGCAAATTATTTGAAGTTGTTATTGGCGTTATTCTTATTGATGTTTGACTTTCGTGGTTACTATTGCTATTGTTAGCATTGCTGTTTTGTAGTATCACCTCCAGCAAAATAAAATCCTCAAATAACTTTAGAGCAACTGAAACAGAAAGTTAAAAAAGGATTAATCTTTTTTTCTGTTAAAAATTAAACATCCTGTATTCTATATAATATGATTGGCTATGGGAGCTATGTATACAATAGACTTGTTGAGTGTCACAATGTGTCATATGCATAAAAAAAAAAACCAGCCCTTGAATTATATGTAGTGTGTACGTGTATTCAAAACGCATTACACATGTTCTTTTAAACACAATTTTGCTAAGTACCTCGGAGATAAATTCATGTGTATGTATAATATCACATATGGCTAATTATCTATCAACTTGCAATTCTTACTGTCGAATTTTTCTTCCCAGGGAATTTTATAAAGTGGATTGCCTAACAATCAGTCTAACAAGATGCTACTTAAAAAATCATAAAACTATTTCGTACTAGACATTCACGGATGGAAATTTGTTAACTGCTTGTTTGCTTAAAGCATCTGAACAACATTTAATCGCAGAAGCATCTTATGGCGTTCACAAACAATAAACGGAGGAAATTGGATGCTATTTTAAATTATTATGCAGAGGACGGAATGCTAAACAGAAGCAGTGAATTACGGCAATTTACCAACAAAAATAATCATATTTTCTGCACAGGTATTTTACTATTAGCATGTTTATACTTGAAAATTATGCGATAATCATTGTTATTAACCCAATTAAAACTGTACGCTAAACAGGAATCTGAATTCCTCAGAAAATTCAACACACCATTTATAGGATATACGACCCTACCCTGGCGTACTACAGCGATTAATGTTGCTTGTGTCAAGAAAAATAATCCACTTTTTGCGCAGATATTTCCGTATTAACATGTTCATACTTAAAAATTATGTGATAATCATTGTTATTGACCCAATTAAAACTGTGCGCTGAACTGGAACTGGACATACGACTCAACCTGCGGGCGTACTACAGTGATTCATGTTGCTTGTGTCAGGCAAAGACACCAAAAGTAGACTCACAATCGTAGTTCTAAACTATTTGAATGCTTTGTTTTGTAGATTAAAAATGTGGTACCAAAAATATTAAAGATTAGCACCTCTGTGTGTGTGTGTGGGGATGGGGGTGGTGGAAGTGGCAATACTGTTACATGGGCAAGAAAGGAGACAGTATTGGTTAATGGGCTGGGAAAGGCTTCCGGTGGCATCATGGGATAGTCCTATTCTGTTGTCATGCTATTCTTATGAAGATGAAATGTTTTTACTTTTTTTCATGTCAGTGCCTGGCATTCATCTGTATAACTCTTATGTTCAATCATATGTATTGTTTCCTGCTTGAAATATCTCTTTCTATATGACCTCTATCAGGTCAGTCTCCAAATTCTTAGAATCTTTACTGTTGAGAAATTCATATTAAATTTTATTGTTAGTGATCTTTTATGGTATATGTCGATGTTGTTTTCATCATCCATAATTAATTTATGTTCTGTCATTAAACCTCTTATCAAGGTCAAAGAATTAGGTTTATGCTGCAAAGTATTTATAGCCATATAAAAATTTGTGAAACATATTTTAGATTTTGTATTTCAATGTTAACGTTTTTTATTAATAAATTTAGCACACACAGATTTTATATATGTAATAAAGCAAAAAAGGATATATATATTTGTTTTATGTTCGGACTGCACAAATTGCTTATTGTGATGGTAGGAACTTAGCATATTTAATTTCCAATACAAAATACTTAACGTTTCTAAGAATACTTGTAGGGGCGCCCTCTGTTTGATGGTTAATGGTTAATGGTTTTTAATTTATAGAGCGCAAAATACAAAAAGTCTCTAAGCGCTATCAGGCAAGTGTAAAGATGGAACGGAAACCAAAACCACAAAATAAAAAGAAGTGAAATTTGAATACCATGCCAGCACCCAAACCGAAGTATGGGGATACGCCCTCATCG